CAGAATTGATTGTTCACTGCATGCTTTTACTACCCCTGTTGTGGCAATAATCAGTCTGTCTCTAAACTAATTTCTTTCCTTATTTGAATCTGTTACTACCCGTTAAACAATGATTCCTTAATTAAAGGGAATCACTTGTATAATTGATTCTGACCGTTGGTTGTTTCCATATTTGTATTAAACTTTACTTATTACCCCTCCTTCACTCGTTTACAAAAAGCTATAAATACCCTGCACCCCTCTTCTTTCAAAAAAACGGAACAAACCATCTGAGTTCAGAACACACACTTCACTCAAAACTCTCTCTCTTTTCTCTGGTACTACTTGTGCTTGCTGCTTTGTCTAGCCGGCTGAAAGCCAAGGCTAGGCTGTGGAAATTTGTTTACCTTTTCCTTTCTGCATTCGCTTCTTACTGGTATGTCCTAGTTAATTTTCCAGCATCAACAATAACATGTCTCTTTACTATTTCCTTCACTCTTGCCTGTTTCCTGCTTATGTTTAATCAAGTTTCATCACTAAGCATGCTGTAAATTAATGTGTTCCTTTATCTATAAATACTCTGTCAGTCATTTGATTATGTGATTATGACTCATGAATCCCAAACGCCCATATCCCATATGTGCGTGTATCTCTGGTTGGTTTGAGGGCATGTCAGCATTAGACATTGTTGTGCATGACCCAAACCAGACCCTCCCTGGGGTCATATGCTTCATGTCCCCTCTATGTGTTGTGTTCTCTGGCTGGTTTATGGGCATACCAGCACCATCAATTGCTATGCATGACCAAACCTAACCCCTCCTAGGGTCATATGCTCCCTGCAATGTATTCCCAAACCCCTGACCCCTTGTGCAAAATGTTGATTCTATGCAGTGTTAGCTTTACTACTACTATTTTGTAATTACCCTTACCCTTTGCTATTCTCAACCCAGTTTTAAACAGATCTCTGTCTCTGCACTTCCACTATACTCTTAGACTTAGGTTCTGCCCCTCTTATGTGAGCCTTGCCTTGGGACCCATGAGCTCCCTCTGAACTTGGACACATAAAGGCTGGCCCTTCCACACTGCACTCATCTCTATCTAGTTATGCAAACTTGGGTGTAAGCAGTGCCCGGGTCCCTTGAGACCCTTAGGGAACTTTGACACACTCAAGTCTGAGAAAGGCTTTGAAACAAGTGGCATTTGAGGTATTTTATTCCATAACTTAGAGAGGAAGTCAGAATCAGGCTTCCTATGGTTGTAACTTCTTATTTTACATATTTTTGATGTGATTCAGCAATTGGTCTGTAATAATTTGTAAACAGATATTGGGGTTGGGTAGTGGAAAGGGATGGATAACTATGCATGTTTAGCTATTAGAAGGGTAGATAACATGCCCAAAGGACCTGTTTTAAATTCCGCATGTTTTTAATTCTACATTTAGATAACATGCCTATAGGATCTGCTTTAAATGCTGCATGTTTTATTCCACACCTAAATGTCCTGCCTGTAGGATCTATTTCAAATTCTGCATTTTTTTATTCTACATCTAGATATCCTGTCTATAGGATCCGCCTTCAAATTCTGTATATTTTAATTTCACACTTAGAAATCATGCCAATAGGGTCTAATGGTTACTATCATACATCATGTCCATAAGCCAAAATCAGGTTCTAAACTAGGTGTCAAGCCTATAAGGTGAATTATCAATATAGAAATCATGCCTATAGGAATCTCAAGTAAATCCTGCCTTCTTCGTTTCATGTTCGACTAGATATCATGTCTATAGGAATTTAAAAATCAGCAATAGTAGATATCATGCCTATAAGATCTGGAACCAGTCTAGTTTAAAATCAGTTCGATACTGTTCGGAACCAGTCTTAAGCAACCTACTCTCCATTTATTAATACGGTTTAGAAAGCATGCCTATAGGATCCAACTCGTCCGTTTAAAGAATTATTACTGCTTTGCCATTTTGAATCAGTAATAGACATCGTGCTCATAGGGTATCATCAATGCACACTTAGGCAAGCCTTAGGTAATAACGATAAAATTGAAACCGTCTTTGTTTAATTAGCAACTACTACAACCAGCAGGCAGGCCTGATTCGGACTTCTTATCTGAGTTATGTAATAAATTGGTCTGCTTCAACAACTAAAACTCCCCTGTCTTAGTACTTTAAATTCTGGCCCTGAATGTGTTTTAAAGTCATGCTATTTATGTGCTTTACTTGAGGAGGTAGATCTGAGCCTCTTATTTGTTTTACATGTCTCCCCTGATATGCAGTCATGTGTGTTTTGAATGTCACCTTAGTCTTTTTACCTTTAGAACCCAAGAGTCAGCCTAAAATCCTCCCTCTTATAGGAATAGTAGTCCTAACTCCTCCGGGACTGATAGGAAAGGGACGGGTAATAGCATGCAATAGAGGTCGAGACTAATCCGCGCTTTAATACCTTGACGGGGTGGGAAGGGTAGATATGGATATGATGACCGGTGCTCTAATACCACGTGTAGCCCATCTTTTGAGGAGTGATTACCGGGTATTGCATTGATGTGATCCATATTATAAATAAACCTAGGACCCCTTTTCTTTTCATTTGCAACTTCTTTTCAAAATCCGCTTTTTAATAATTGCTCTTTCAAACTCTTATGTGTTTAAACTTAAATCCCCTACTATTTGAGCCTATACTCGTCTATTTGCTAAATTGCACAAATTCACAAAAAACTGTCTGGCCGAGAACCACGCTAGTGGATCCTGAGGGGTGCCTAACACCTTCCCCTTAGGATAATTTCAAGCCCTTACCCTATCTCTGGTTATCAAACAAACTTAGTAGTGAACCTTGTAGGTGTCCTAATGCACCCTAACTCATTAGGTGGCGACTCTTCAAATGCAAAACCCAGTTCCCAAAAGGAATAAGTTGTCCTATGCCCAAAATGTCATAAACCCGATTTTCCGATGCAAAGAGGGAAAAAGGGGGCGCGACAGTTGTATCCCTATAATGAACTAACACAGGATCCTCGTACTGCATTCCTTCATTTAAGTTACTACAGTGGATGTTGTCGTATCATGAATAGTAATTCCAATATCACCTGAGTCCAGTAACCGAATTCCAAGACTAGCTAGCTGATGAATCTCATTGGCTATTCCCCTCTTTTCTTGCTGTAAATATGATAGGTTACCCATAGATCTACGGTTGAGGGCGTCGGCTACCACATTCGCCTTCCCCGAATGGTATGAAATGTCAACATCATAATCTTTAAGTAGTTCCAACCATCTCCTTTGACGTAAATTCAATTCCTTTTTCTTGAAGATATACTGGAGACTCTTATGATCCGTATAGATATCAACATGAATGCCATACAAGTAGTGCCTCCACATCTTTAGTGCATGAATCACTGCGGCTAATTCTAAATCGTGGGTCAGGTAATTTTTCTCTTGTTTCTTGGTTGTCTAGAAGCATAAGCTACATCCTTACCATGCTGCATCAGTACACAACCCAATCCAACGCCCGAAGCGTCACAATAGATAACATAACCATCAGTCACATCTGGGAGCGTTAGAACTGGTGCTGAAGTTAATATGTCCTTCAAAGCCTGAACGCTCCGTTCGCAAGCATTAGTCCTTGAAACTTTGCTCCCTTCTATGTCAACTTTGTCTAAGGTGCTGAAAGGGAAGAAAATCCCTCTACAAATCTCCTATAATAACCTGCCAAATCAAGAAAACTACGAACCTCTGTCAGTGTCGTGGGTCTAGGCCAAGTCTTTACTGCCTCAATATTTTGTGTATCAATCCGGATACCTTCACCTGAAATGATATGCCCAAGGAAAGCTACAGAGTTCAACCAGAATTCACATTTAGAGAATTTTGCATACAACTTCCCTTTTTGTAGAACTCTAAGCACAGTATATAAATGATCTTCATGCTCAGCCTCTGAACAAGAATACACCAATATATCATCAATAAATACAATTACGAACAGATCTAAAAAGGGTATGAACATACGGTTCATCAAATCCATGAATACTGCTGGGGAATTGGTCAAACCAAACGACTTAACACGAAACCTAAAGTGCCCATATCTGGTCCTGAATGTTGTCTAAAGAATATCTTTCTCCTTAACCCTTACCTGATGGTACACGGACCTCAAGTCTGTCTTTGAGAAACACTTGGCACCTTGCAACTTATCAAATAAATCATCAATCCTCGGGAGTGGGTACTTATTCTTGATCGTCACCTTATTCAACTGTCTATAATCAATACATATCCGTAAGGAACCGTCTTTCTTCATCATAAATAACATAGGTGCTCCCCACGGTGATGTACTAGGTCTGATAAAGCCTTTTTCAAGCAAGTCCTTTAGTTGTTCCTTCAACTCTTTCATCTCTGCGGGGGCCATTCTATAGGGCAGAATAGATATTGGATGTGTATCTTGTAGTAAGTCAATAGCGAACTCAATTTCTCGCTCTGGCAGAAGACCTAGAAGCTCATCGGGAAAAACATCGGGAAACGATGGACGGAATGGTTGGTGACTCCACTTCCACATCCCAAACCTAAACTAAGTGATAAATATAGCCCTTTCTGATCATCTTCCTTGCCTTGAGATGGGAAATAAATTTACCTCTCGACGGTGCCGTATCACCTTCCATTCAAAAATAGGCTCCCCCAGAAATTGGAATCGGACCATCTTTAATCTACAATCAACGTTGGCATGACAAGAAGCCAACCAATCCATACCCATTATAACATCAAATTCTTCCATATCTAACTCGATTAGGTCCGCTACGGTAGATCGACTATGAACTACTATTATATAACCTCTATATACTCGCTTAGCTATCACTGAGTCCCCAAAGGTGTAGACACCTCAAAAGGTTTAACCAATTCAGGTTTTATTCCAAACTTACTAGCAACCAGTGGAGTAACATATGATAAGGTGGAACCTGGGTCAATCAGTGCATATACATCATATGAGGAGACTGATAATTATACCTGTAACAACATCAGGCGATGACTCATGATCCTGTCATCCTGCCAACGCATAAATGCGGTTCTGAGGACCGCTCGAGCTAGATGCTTCGCCTCTGCCACTACCACGACTCATTGGTACTTGTGAACCTTGCCCAAGGGGGCGTACTAATGATGACAAACCAGCTACAGATCCCACTGGCTGAGCTATGCTTGCATCACCTCTTATCGGACAATCCCTCGTAACATGGCCTGGATAACCACAAGTATAACAAACACCCAACCCCATACGGCACTGCCCGGCATGCTGCTTACCATACTGAGCACATCGTGGCAAGGGCGGCCTCATCTGACTTGACTCACCTCTATACTGAGAACCTGAGGCCCTGAAATTCTGACCAGGCCCTGAATATGTGGAACGATCAAATCTCTTACCGCCAAACTGAGGGGGCGCACTAGCCAATGGCTGGGCTAGATACCTCGAGTATTGTGGTCTCTGACCACCTCAAAACTGACCAGAAGGACCCGAAGATATCGCTCTCTTATTCTTGTCCCTATCATGCTCACGAGTGGCCCTTTGCTTCTGCATAAACTCCTCTACACCCTGAGCGTATGCCTGAATACGAGAAATATCCATGTATGCCGGAAGTGAGATCGACATACGATTGTTAAGCAAGTGCTGCTCTAACCCCATCACAAACCGGTGAATGTGATCCTCCATCTTAGACATAATAGTGGGAGCATAATCAAACTGAAGACCGTACTCCCGAACACTCATGTTACCCTCCCGAAGGGTTAAGAACCCATCAAATCTGGCTTGTCTAAGCTCTGATGGCAGATAATGACGAAGAAAAGCCTCTGTAAACTCCTGCCATACTGCTGGAGGGGCATCCTCACCTCTAGACAACTCCCAAGACTCGTACCACTTACACCGTACTCCTTTAAAATTGCAAAATCTCACGTTAATCTGAATTGTTGAAGGTTCTTGGGTGTTGCTTATATGATATATAATATGCAGATGCATATTAGAATGGTTTAACGTTACTTGTGTAAGGAAAGCTTGGTTGAACTCTTTCTTAAGAGATTAGGAAATGATTTTTATCTTAGGAATGTGATTCTTAACTTTATGCGGGCCCCACATTCCAAGCTTAGTGTCACCTAACCCTTTTCAAGTGTGCCACCTTTAAATCTCATAGTATAAGAGTCATAATTTGGATAATGTTTTGCTGCCACGTTAGATCCTTTGGTCTTTATCCAAAGACCTTATTTAACCATCCACCAAATCCTTAATCAACTTATCAATTCCCCACTAATCCAATATTTAACCAATTACCCACATAATTAAGAATTATCTCAAATTAAGTAAAATACTACTCATTTTAATACACTTTACGTATCCTACTATCGTGGTCGTGGGGTACCTTGTATGGTTATGGCATTAGTCCATAAATGTCGGGTATTTTAGCTCGGACTGTATTTATATCCCAAATTGACAACCTTCAACGATACTCATTTTTTTTTATTCGCTTACCCTTTATCCTTCACGGCCTTACTTATCGCTTGTTATAAATAGCATAAATGCATATAACCTCAAGATAATCTCATCCCCGAGTCTACGTTGATTAACTGAAGACGAAATTTTAACGTACGAAAATGCGAGATGTAACACAAACTCCATCACACATGCACGAAGCATATTCTCTAGTATCTGAATAGTGCGCTCGGACTGTCTGTCCATCTGAGGGTGAAATATTGTGCTCAACTCAACCCGAGTACCTAACTCATGTTGTACGGCTACATATAAATATATATACATTAAGCTAAATATCAACACCCCACACTAAGACTCTTGCTCGTCCTCGAGCAGTGTGAATAACAACTCTATCCCAACTACATACTAATCTCAACTATAGAGGAGCACTTTATTTTTTAACCATACACTCTACCCTTGACTATCATCGATACCTGGAATCAAGCATGAACATACAAAGTTCACATTCTTCCCATTTTAAACATGCCCAAATATATCCATTTCAATTCAATCAATTCAATCAATTCAAACAACCTATCCGTAACCACCCTACCTCAAGAGTTGACTCGTTACCACTAAGCACTCTCAACTCGCGCACTTACCCAACAAGAGAAGTTTACGACATTACCAATCATTCATGTGATCATATGCCCTCACCAACAAACGAAAGAGTGAATATAGACTATTACACACATTCAAGTATGCTTTTGAACATAATTTAAGGACATCACACAATTGAACAAAATTCACTCACTCTCACAAAGAATTCATATGCATCCCGTGGTCGTACCATAAGCTTGCTCGTAGTGTACATCTCTACTAATCTAAGCTAGCCAAATCTAAGATCAATTAGGACTTTAAGGTTGTAATGTAGGCTAAGGGATGGGTATGATATATTTAGAAATAGTGTATAACCCTCCAAAGCACATTAATACACTACACTCACAATTTGAACACATATTCTTCTTAACCAATTCACTGCCACAAATCATATACAACATAGCCCTTAATTTCATTAAGCACTTCTGTACTCCCACTAGCACAAATTAGCAAGATTAGGAGGTGTGTATTTTTCTACATACTTTGACTATCATTTTTTCTTTTCTTGCAATTCTTCTTTTTCTCTCTATCTCTTTTTTTTTCTTTTACACACACTCCATACATGAAAGTTCATCCGCTACTGACTTTTGATTTCAACATTAGTGCACCAAAGGGACCTTCCATGGTTCCACTCAAAAGCTACTCCCCACTCTCTCACCTTACTTCTTTTAGCAACTAAGAGCCTTAGGAGGTAAAGGTTCAACAATCTCAAATTATGAACAAAATAGGGGTATGTCTTGTAATGTGGGTACCAAAAGAAAGGTCTATAGGCTCAAAGGCTAGCAACGGAAAATTTTATCTTCAAGTGACAAGCACATCTATGATCAAGCAAGAAACGCCTGTGCCATCTCTTAGACTAGCACAATTTAATGATTTCGCTTCGATTAATACATGGGGAAAGTTCTAGACTATACAGGATAGCACAGATAATCACAATTCCTCACACACACATTCCACATGACTCAATCAAGATGATTCTGTTCAACTCTCAAGCCAAGCAAGTACATAAAATTGAGAAATTTAAGCAATAATGTACTATGTGGCATACAAGTCGAACAACTGAGAAAAATCGTCAAAAAATAGGCTATTTACATTACTTAGACGTCACAATTCAAACAAAATGCATAGGAAGGTAGAACGTATGTCATAGCCTAATATGACAGCACCAAACATGTCACTAGATATCTCACAGCAACTCAGTTTCTTCCTAACCTACCCCTAAAAAAAATACCCGATTCGAGCTACACCCTTGGAAAAGAACCGGTGCCCAAAGAAAAACCAAGGAATACTACGTAACTATCCTAAAATAATATTTTACGCATTTTTTAATCGGACTTTATCCCTCAAGAAAATTGTTCAAAAGATCCATCGTCGGGAAAAGTCCGAGCTTTTTCTAATTTTTTTTCTTTCTTTTTGTATTTTTGTAATTTTTTTCTTTTGTTTTCTTTTTTTCTCTAAAACACACTAGACTAAAAACTAGACTAAGTAAAAAAAACTAATAAATGAAACCAATTGATACAAGTTATACAAAGTACATCACAAGTAGTAGTCCTACCACTATAAAATCAGAGCGAACCATCTGAAAGTGAATATCGCATTGCTTTCTGGTCCACTTGGCATTTGAATCAATGCTGCAAAGAGTGTGACGTATCACCGTGTAGCTTGGGCTTCTGACAAATATCGTTAGCCTCCTTGGGTCAGAGTTCTCAACCCCCAAAAATTCACATAAGGACCGTCTATCCAGTGGCACGTCCTTCCCACGTACATGTGACTTGAACAAGTATGTATCCCAGTTGGCATACAGTTCCCGAACCATGCTCAAATTTGAATGCCCGGGGCATTCTATGAGTTTGTCCATGTTCAATGCTCGCAACCGGCCAAGTACGTCCGGGAAGTTTCTTTCTAAAGCTTTTACATTAATCCCCATCTCGGAGACATACCGAGATAGGCACCATCACAACAGGTTAGAACTTGAGTCGTAACAAGTTTGTATCAGAGCCTAGGTTACATAGGTCTCACGAGTCATGAGCGGGTTTAGTAGAGTCGTGCGAATTGGTACGGAGACGTCTGTACTTATCTTCGAGAGGCTGCAGAATCCTTAGGAAACTTCACATTCTTGAATTCTTATCGTGCGAATCTGTTGATACTGGTAACTAAACTTCTGTTATTCTATTCTCTCACAGATGGTGAGGACACGTGCTACCGGGCAGGACGAACAGCCACCAATACCACCAGTCAGCACCGCGAGAGGCCGAGGTCGCGGTAGAGGTCGTGGTAAGGGCAGGGGTGCAGCCCACACAGCAGCTAGGGGGGCACCTGCAGATCCACCTATTGCCCAGTTCAGGATCAGGTCCTAATAGTAGATGCACCAGCGGGGCCAGCTCAAGCTAGGTGTGCCCATTGTTATCCTAGGCCTTCAGGAGGCCTTAGCTCAGATTTTGACTGTGTGCACCAGATTTGCTCAGGCGGTCTCTGTTTCTACTACATCAGCCACTTCTCAGGCTGGGGGAGGCACTCAGACTCCCCCCTCCTGCACACCCGAGCAGGTAGTGCAGGGACTTTATACACCGGGGGCACTACCAGCCCAATCGGTGGCAGGTGCTCGGACCCATGTGGTTCCTGCTATGACTGATGACGAGTAGCAGAGACTAGAGAGGTTTGTAGACTTCAGCTTCCATCTTTCAGTGGGACAGAGTCGGAGAATGCCCAGGGTTTCTTTGACAGATGTCAGAGGAGTCTCCGTACAACAGGTATTCTGGAGACCATTGGGGTCTCGTTCACTACCTTTCAGTTCACTGGAGCTGCCCTCGCCTGGTGGGAGGCTTATGAGAGGTCTAGGCTGGTTGGTGCAGTGCCACTTATATGGTAGGAGTTTTCTATTCTCTTCTTGGAGAAGTATGTGCCGCAGTCTCGCAGAGCGAAGCTGCACATACAGTTCGAGCAGTTGCGTTAGGATGATATGACTGTGATGCAGTACGAGATGAGATTTTCTGAGTTAGCCCGTCATACTATTTGGTTGGTTCCCACAGACATGGAGAGGATCAGGAGCTTCGTTGATGGCCTTACATACAAGCTACGGATACTTATGACTAGAGAGAGGATGTCTGGTGCTACTTTTGATGAGGTTGTTGACATTGCTCGAGAGATACAGTCGACTCGCCGCCAGGAGCGAGTTGAGAGGGAGGCTAAGAGGCCTCTTGGATCAGTTAGTTTTTGTGGTGTTCCTTCAGGAGGTTAGTTTCACCACGGGAAGGGTCGTCCATTCAGACATGCTCAGACGGCTCATCCAGTTCACTGTGGTGCAGCATCTAGCCATGGTTCTCAGTTCTCATCAGGGCCACTCATTACTCAATGCCCTTCCAGCCCAGAGTTCGTCCCATGCTCCATCGGTTCAGGGCTCTCTGTGCCAGGTTCTTCTACCAGTTATCCCGGTACTTGGGGCTCCCTTCAGTCCCTGTCACCAGCACCAGAGATTGTTTTGAGTGTGGGGAGTTTTGGCATGTGTGGAGGCTGTGTCCTCGTCGTCATGGAGGTTCAACATAGCAGAGGAGACAGGCTGCATCTTCAGCCCCAGTTACTTCACCGCCCGCCCAGCCAGCTCGGGGTGGAGCACAGTCAGATAGGGGTCGCCCTAGAGGGGGAGGCCG